TTTCTTGGGTGACTGCAGTTTTTGGACGACCTTGACGGGGATCATCACTGAGCTTGACACGTCCACGTTGAAACTCAGCAAACCAGCGATAAATTGTGGTTTTGGATGGGGCTTCATCACCAAATGCAGAAATCATCCGGTCAACACACTGTTTTTGTGTTAAACCACTTCGAAAGTCATAATAAATCATCGGTCTTGAATTTTCTCGAGTCAATTCCATTTTCTCAACGACTAAACAAGTTTGACAAAACCTCGTGACAAGACCGAGAATCTTTTTTTAAATAAATAAATGGTATTCGATTTTAAAAACCAAGGAGTTTTCAATTAAAAAGATTTTAATATGACAGGAAGAGTGGAAATATTCCATTCCCGATACTTTTAGTGCAGCCTAGTAGTAACATACAAGTATAACGTGTGTCTAATCAACACAAACTGAGAGAAAGCTTCCACATTCCCTGGAAATCCGTTAAATTGGCTAGCCATTTAAATAAATCTTCGATCGAGGCAAGGCATTAAAATAAGTACGCAATGATATTAGCTTTTGTATTCTTCCTAGTATTTTCCCGGGAATAGCTGTAAAAAGGTGGCCATACGTAATTTAATATCCTGAAATATTAAAATCTATATAGTTATATTTTAACGAACGGATACAACTATTTATTATCTAAACATTGAAAATCTTGAAAAATATTTTTCCCATTAATAGTTGAACAGAATAAGATGTTGATTTTTTATGTGGTTTTTTAACCAGGCGGATGCATCACGATGCTCAGCAATGAGCGATCGATTGAAGGAGGTTGTTCAAACATAAATAGTAAAAACGTCTGGTTGAGCCCGTGCTCACCCACCTGTCCTGGTGAAACTGGAAAGGTCTCCGGAACACAAGTAAATCCTCATTTAGAAAAAAAATCGAGCCTCATTCGTTTAGTTTAGCAGTGTGCATTCGAGAACCGATAGTAAAATATTTATAGAACTATACGGCAATCATTGTTGTCAAAAGGAAATATTTGGGGAGATCAAGTGGAAGAGGATGCGCGGTGATTGCCCTTACAGCCCACATCCTATATGTGAAGCCGACTATGTAAACAAATTTAATGTGTATACGTCATTGAAACGAGTATTAGCTTAAGCGTTTTTTTTTTTTTAAATTTTGTACATTAATTAAAACGATTCACTTGGGTGTAGATTGAGTGATGAAAGATGAAGATACCTAACTTTATGATCTAAAATTGGACCGATTGTATTTCATTTTTAATGTCGCTATTATTGGTTGTATATACAGTTTTTGGTATAGCATTTATTTAGTATATGTACATAGTATAGTATTTAGCATATGTTTGCATTTAACGAAATCTTTGAATGTCATTTTCAAGACAGACACAGACTTCAAGACATCGGATTTACTTTAAAATGTGCACAAACATCAAGGACCGGTAACAAGACTGATAATTTTACTGGTACGCTCAAATATCTTGATTAATAAATCAAAAAAGATGATTTTAATTGTTAGTTCGTTAAACTATTTAAACGTGTTAGTTTTTAAACTACCTACATATTTTTATTTTAATATGGATGCTATAATAATTAGTAATATCGTTTTAAATTCCTTGAAAGATGTCTTCAAAATTTATGTTTCATATCTGAAACGAATACAAGATGTGAGTCATCGCATGTATGAGATAACGACATACAACCTACGTAAATAAACATGCTTTGAGAACAAACGCGTCTGCTATAGGAGAACAAATGTTATTGCTACGACATGATAGATATTTTTAATAACTTGCAGTTTGGTGGCCGGTGGAAATGGGGTGATGTGATGTCAGCGGATATTAACAATCACCATAATTACAAAAAACTGTGACCTCTCAAAATGTTAATTGCTAGCGACTAACTCCATTTTTTGTTTAGCAGTTATCCTAGGAAACATTCTAGAAGGAATATCACAATTTGACTGATCAGTGCTGAGCATTACGACTGACGAAATTTAATCGAAAATCTATAATATATACCACATGTGTTGTGACAATTACCTTTAAAATTTCTGAACCGTTATGACATATCTTTCTGCAAAAGTAATTTCTTGTCTCCTAGCTATTAAAATGTTCATCAAAGACAGTAACCACTTTAACTCGATTACTTACTTTCCAAATAATATTATAATATGATACTGAAGATTACCTGCATAATATTTATTTCACTGTTCCAGTTGATATCTTTGTACGTGTATCAACTATGCACTAACCCACTACATTCGTTATTTAGAAAAAAAACACTAGAATATTCGACATGCGCGAATAGTGTAACATTCAAAATTCACTGCTTTAGTGATGCGTTGATACTAAAAATGTAACAGGTAATGGTAAAATCAGCAGGAAAGATAGTCCCTGATAAGTTTATCAATGTTGTTGAGCTGGAGCGTACACAACTATAGTTTTATCTTTATTTGATAAAAGTTTAAATTGACAACGCAATTATGAGAGGTTTTCTTTTATATTCAATAAACAATAGTTTGAAAACCAAATTATATCAGAGAAGCTCACGTAATTTTTTTTATTGAAATTAAATCAATGGAAATCTTTAGAAGCTGTTCAGAATAATATTGCTATAATACAGCTGGACTTTGGAATGTGGGTGTGTTCTATAATTCGCAACAGTCAATGGTATCTCAAAATCAATAATGTGAATATTTCTAAGTGAGTTTTTAATAAGATCGAGAGTCCGAGAATCCTTGCGAAGTGCTTTAGTAATGTCGTAAATAGTGTATCTGTATCAACTAGTAGGAATGTTAATCACGATTCATTACGACTGCGGAAAAGTTCTATGTGTTTTGTTCGAAATGCATTCAATGCTCTTCCTAAAATTACAAACTGTAGTATGAAATTTCAAATTCATGGTTTCAACTGGGTTTTTATTATTATTATTAACACGCGCAGTTCAGTTGGGGAAACCTCGAATATGCGCCATGCGTTTATGGTCTACAATTTCGTTTTCTAGTTAACGGACACATGTCCATTACACGTTTTATTAATATAAAGTCGGCTCCCCGATATGACTAAGTACACAACTTTCCTACATTGAATTTTGTTTTTTTCTAATAACTAAGACGCAAAGTAATTCATGACATCAAATTAGTGGATCAAAGACACACCAAGACCTCCGGACATAATATTGAAGTTTCAATTACATTGACCCAATAGCCAATGTTAAGATGTAACACACAATTGCTTCAAGTCAGAAATAGGCAGAATGTAGTACTCATGCAATCCAGTACATACCTCCTACCAATGCTTAACATAGTAACTATGGATGTTACTAAAGTGGGAAATTTCATAATTTCATAAGGAAATAATGCCACTGAAATTTTATGATTAATAACTTTCACACCTGAACACATCTAACTTTGAGGACACACATTATGATAGCTTAGAAAGATACTTTTCAGATGTAATGATTTCATTTAAGGAGCTGCTTGAAAGTTTCCCTACATTAGCTCTCACATCTATAGATGTAGGTGTGTGTGAAAGTTTTATTATAATAATGGTGTCATGAAAGAAAGAAGAAAGAAAGAAAATCTTTATTCGCCAGAAATATAGTTGAAACAATGAGTACATCCCTTTCCCTTGTCAATTCTTTTACAACACTGAAAAGTTTCTAGTTTACTCATTTCACAACAGAACTAAATCTTTTTCTCTGTATCTATTAAGAAAATATTATACTTTGTCAAAATTAAAACCCAATTTTCTATTTAGATGAATAAATTTAAAATTTAGAAAATATTGTAGCAGTACAAGTTTGTTTTGATTGTTTAGATGGATGTACGAACTCACTGCCCACCCAGTGTTAAGTGGTTACCGGAGCGCAAAGACATCTACAACGTAAATGCCACCACCCACCTTGAGATATGAGTTCTATGGTCTCAAGTACAGTGGTAAATGTAGACTACTGCTTTAGTGAAAGAGTAATCAATATTGATTTGCTAAGTGTCAATATCTGATTTTTGGTGAGTTTGTCATGAGCTGTGAGTATAAAATCCTTACCAAAACTCCACTTAACAAGTGCGTGCACCAAGCCTTAGTTGCTGAATTGTGGAGCACAGCTGTCAAGGCTATAATAAACAAGGATGGAAGGACCACGACTGCTCTACCAAGAGTAACCAGCTATGATGTAATATGTGAGTGCAATACAGACACCTACGTGCCAGTTGGCTACAGATGATTTCTTCATTTCAGTAGATTTTATATGTTAATTTGTTTTTATTTTTGATACATTACAATATTTTTTTCTTTATAATAATACTTATTTATGAAATTAAGTCAGTAATGTCGGTTATTCATTTTTATTATGACAATCTGTTGGCTCATAAGATGCTCTACAACCAGTAAATGGTGGAGACTATTTTGGTTTTCGATGTACATATCCTGCTTAAACTAGGTATGTAAATAGGTAGGTAATGTAACGTACCATTTAGTTCCCCGTAAATAAATAAAAGGTAGCTTTTAGAATGCATTTTTTACATTTTTATGTCAGGTTTGACCATCAATATGATGAATGATTATTTTACTCAAACATATGAATGTAATTTATATTTAAAAATATATAGTTATTTAAGTAAATATATATTTAATTTTTATTGTATCTGTATATGACAAGTATTTTAAGAAGCAAAAAATATATGAACATGCCTATCTATCTTTCAGATAATGCTTTTGGAATTATAATCTAAATGTATCAATGGATTAATTGAAGTAAAATCCCGAAAGGAACCTTAAGCTTTGGAAATAAAGTAATCACCATAACTATGAGACCACCACAGAAACTATGCTTTCTAATTTATTTAAAATGGTTATTGACTGAATTTACAACTGACCAAAAGTTGATGTTGATTTCTGGCTCAACAGATAATTGTTAGTGCTCTCGATGCTCAATGTAACTCTACTCTACGTCTACTCTCGTGGGTGCTATTATTTCAATAATAATGTGCAGCTTAATCTGTTTACCTGGGACTTCTCGAACTGCTCACGTTCTGCATCCAGACTGTTCTTTTTCAGCTGAAGCACACGGGGCAAGGATAAAGACGCCATAAGTTTGTCACATTAACAAGTACATACACCCACAAAATATTTTAGAATTTCTCGTGTTCAGTGTATTAAAATTTAGCACACTAATTTTACTGTTTAAAGTTACACTTAGTTAAAGTCTGTTTTTTTTTAAATAGTTTCCCCTAATTTAAACTGTTTGAATGTTAAGCTAATTGTTTTTAGTAAAGTTTAAAAGTTATTTTTATTTATTTATGTTGGTAGGTACAGAATTTATTTTGAGATTTATTTACTTAAATTACATACTTTACTCCAAGATTTACTCTTAACTCGCAGATTAATTAAAACACTACCTACTTAAATTACTTTACTCTTTGAAAACTATTTAACACTGTTTAATTTCTCGATTTTGTGAGGAACAGACACAAGTCACAACCACCAACAGACTAACTGTTGTATTCACAGATTAGCCTGTATCGGTCTAATAACTACTTCATTGTTTTAAGGGATTTTATGACCTGGTCACTAAGACCTTTAGGTCAAGAGTTATTTTAATTTATATTCCTACTTTTATGAAAAAAGATAAAATGAAGTGAAAGGAAATGAAGATAATTAATTTGAGACATTAATAAACTGAGATGAAATGAAATGAGATGAGATGGTATGAGATGAAACATAATCTCAGTAAAATGGTAGTTTTTCAGTGGGCTTTTTGGAGGATCTCGAGAAACTATTGTTACCGAATCCTGGCAACCCCCGACCGAGAGCCAGCGCTAAAACTATAAAAACGATCCCTCGCTGCGCCTTTGCCTCTTTTTGTGCGTGGCGTTCGTGTGTGCGGTTCTTGTTGAAACATGTTTGGTTCTTGTGTAATTTTAACAGTTTTCGTTAATAGTAAATTGAAATCATTTTCTTAGAAGTTTTGTTAATTCAGTGAAGTATAATTAGGCCAGTTCTGTGTTATTTATTTCTTTTTGTTAACTACCGCACTTCTGGTCGATAATATCAGAAGTGGGATAAAACCACGTGCTTTTGAAAAGTGACGGGACGTCGATGTAGAAAATACAGGCGCGATCATTCTCATCGACGCTGTCATGACCGCTCGAATTCTCGATTTAGGAGTTTGTTGCAATTATTATCGTCGCGATCGTGCTGTGTGTAGGAAGAGCAAGACACCTACACCGCAGGATGTCTCCTGGCATAATTCCGTGGAACCGTTCTTTGGAACATAATTATACTCGTGAGATCGTGAGATTAATGACCACTTTATCTGTACCGTCTACTCGCACTCTTGTACCGAACGCCACGCGTAGTTATTTTTGCCACCAGCAGCAACGGTTTCCGTCGAAGGGGGTGACGCATGTGCACCTGAGTACCCTGGAACAGCGTCATGCAAATCGGCGGGTGTGTGTAGCAGTGCTGGTCAGCAGATAGACGGCATGACGAACAGGATTATTGGAGCATTGCAGGTGCTATCTAAACTTTGACAATGGAGGCGCCTTCTGTCTGATTTGTTCACAGACGCAGGGCGTTGTCGCCGACGTGTGAGGTCAGTAGCGAGTCGGCGCCGTGCTCCAGCAGGAGAGCGCAGAGCCGTGCAGACTGCACGTGTTGCTCGCGTGCCGCTGGCTGCGCGCGCTCATCTACTTCTGGCGTGCAGACTGCGCGCACTGCTCGCGTGCCGCTACCTGCGCGCGCTCACCTGCTTCAGACGTGCATACTGCGCGCACTGCTCGCGTACCGCTGGCTGCGCGCACTGCTCGCGTACCGCTGGCTGCGCGCACTGCTCGCGTGCCGCTGGCTGCGCGCGTTCATCTACTTCTGGCGCGCATACTGCGCGCACTGCTCGCGTACCGCTGGCTGCGCACACTGCTCGCGTACCGCTGGCTGCGCGCACTGCTCGCGTGCCGCTGGCTGTGCACACTGCTCGCGTGCCGCTGGCTGCGCGCGCTCGCCCACTTCTGGCGTGCAGACTGCGCGCACTGCTCGCGTGCCACTACCTGCGCGCGCTCGCCTGCTTCAGACGTGCATACTGCACGTGTTGCTCGCGTGCCGCTGCATGCGCGCGCTCACCTACTTCTGATGTGCATACTGCACGTGTTGCTCGCATGCCGCCGACTGCACGGTGCTGTACGACTGGCAGTGACGCAGAGGGCGATGTCGCTTAGTCTGCGGCCTGCTACTGCGGACTACCCAACGGATTATCTATCAGGACGGTCGAGCGGGACGCCCGCCACACTGGTGCAGCCTCGCATCGTGGGAGCAGACTGGAGCTGGGATGGCTGCCCTGCTTCCACATCATCCTTACGAGTGGACCCCGGTGACATGCAGCCTTTTCTTCGAAATTAATATGTGAAGGTCGAGGTGGGCACTTCGGTGCTTTACTTCCCATTTTTGAGGTTGAGGTGGGCACTTCGGTGCTTTACTTTCCATTTTTGAGGTTGAGGTGGGCACGACGGTGCTTTACTTCCCGTTTATTTTTTGAGCAGTATGGTTAGATGCGGATTCGGCCGGATCTTGCGTCCCTACTGTTTAGCTGTGTTGTGTCGGTAATGTTCAGTATCTGTATCGGTGAATATTGCCGCTACTGTTTTAGACGTTTCCTGTACGGGCTAACTCAGTAAAGGAATCGTGCAGGTGTCTCAAATTGCGCAGTTTGGGACAGTTGTGCGATATCCATTCTTCTCACTTCAAATGTTTATCTTTGGCTCGTCCTCGCTGCAGACGTAAGAGTGCACGCTTGCGTCTGTAGTAGGGATTCTAAATTTTAGAAAGTTTTAGAGCATTAAGGTCTGGGTGTAATTTTTTTTGTTACGTTACAGAGGGTGACCTTGTTGATGCAAGCTCTGACGTAGCTGGAAGAGATATGCTTCTGCTGAGAGATGAAGCGGTCGAGGACGCCTCGCCATCAGGAACGGCCGTGTTACCGAATCCTGGCAACCCCCGACCGAGAGCCAGCGCTAAAACTATAAAAACGATCCCTCGCTGCGCCTTTGCCTCTTTTTGTGCGTGGCGTTCGTGTGTGCGGTTCTTGTTGAAACATGTTTGGTTCTTGTGTAATTTTAACAGTTTTCGTTAATAGTAAATTGAAATCATTTTGTTAGAAGTTTTGTTAATTCAGTGAA